TGAGTGTTGCAATGTCTGGGACATCTTCAGTTCTCAAGTCCTTTATCTTTTAGATGGGTCAGTACCGCATATGCCCTGTAATGCTGAAAAAGCCATAAGAAAAGGTGGTAACCCTGTAAGGGAAGTTCTGTTCCACACCTTGATTTAAAAATAGAATTAACATATTTAATAAAACACTAGATATACATGGGAACAGCTTCTCTTTGTTTTTCTTTCTGCCAGTCTTTTTTCCTTATTTCTTCTCCCCTCACCATCTGCAGTTTACAGACCTCTGCACTAGGGATCCAGGCCTAGCAGCGCATGCATTACATTTATTCGGTTGTCAACTCTGGAAATATAAAACATACGTAAAGCATTGCTTTTTTCAGAACATGATTTGAATTACCAAGTGTGAACTATAATGGCACTTTCATAGTAGAAATTAGTATTGATGGCTCAGATTAGGGATCTATTTCTGCTTGGATTTGGATAATTAAAGGACCATACAATAACTGTGCTCAACATGCTCTATTATCAGCAACAGAATTTTCCAATTGATAATAGCTCTGCCTGGAGGCACTTGCCTGCAATCCCTGCACTCAGGAGGCTGAGGCAGGAGGATCACTGACAGTTTAAGGACAGCGTGAACTAGATAGCAGTATACTGTCTCAAAAAGACCAAAAAAATAAAATTGACAATAGTGGTGAGACATTTTATAATCTGTGTGTGTGAATCAATTTAAGGACGTAGTGAGTGCTTTTAAATTTTCTTAGTTATATTCAGAGAGTTTTTCAAAATGAACTACTTTGTGAAGGGTAGAGACTAAATAATTCCTATTTTATCCTTTAGGTGCAGCAGAACCACAGAAAGATTCAAGAAATCTGAATGTACTCCAGTTCCCCTTTCTCCAGCACTGCCCCTTTTTTGATCCCCAGGCTTTGTTAGCATTTTAATGAGTCCCCCATCCTGAGGTTTCCAGCCACCCTGACACAGCCCTCCCCACCCCTTTGCCTTCTCCTCAGCTCTTCTGCTGAGGAATTTGGCAGCAAGATGCCAGGCTGCCTGGGAGCCTTCCCTTCCTGGGAGCTTTGCAGCAGCTGGCAGGCACTGCATCAGTGATGGCAGCTCGTGCTGCCTCCTTGTGGGCAGAATTTACTTGTGTTTGCTCACTGACCAACGTGTGTGGAGTTGGGCAGAAACTCTGGTTTCTCTTCAAGTGGAAATGCCACCCTTCCCACAGGGACCCAGGGGATACTGGTTGAAACTGGTCCTGCAGTGATGCAGCCTCCAGCATTTCCAGGTCTCCTGGTGCTTGCTCTTATGGCTGTGTCTGTGGCTCACGTGGCCTTGATGCTTCCTCGGAATGGATGGCTGTCAGCGGCTGAGACACAAGAGCAGCAGGGCCTGTTACCCACTTGGACTGGCTTCTGAGGGCCTGGCCATCCTTCACGGGCCTGTCATGGGCTGTGTCATGTGTGTCTGGCAAAGGCCTGAGGCACCTCCATCAGCACAGACCTTGTGCTGCTGTGCTCAAGGCTTTGACAGCGCTAGTTGACTTTCTGGTCTAAAGAAACCATCCACAGAAGGAACATGTGCTGTGTCACAGAGCGCCCATTTGGAAAATGTGCTGTAACAATTTGCTGTTGTAATATTCTTAATTTAATAAAAATATTCTTTGTTCTTTAAGAAACTGCAGGTGTTAGAGAGGTGTTTGTTACAGAATTTACTGCTTTCCCCTTCTCTGATTTCACTTCATTTGATTATTCTTTTGTCTTTATGTGCAAAAATAAAGGGGAAACAAAATACTAGTCTGTCCATCCATAGCAGGTTTTTATTTTGTTAGCTGATTTTCAAGCTCATTTCAGCTAGAGATGTGGTTTATCTTTTAACAGTAATGAAAAGATTTTAGAAAATTGATCCACAGCAAACACAAATGGCCTTTGGGCCAGTACAATAGCCGAGAGGCCTATGCCCATGATGAGAATATTCTTCTGGAAACCTAAGCAACTGAGATTGTGCTGCTTCCCAGGTTCATCCTCCTCTCTGCCTCATTTATTTTGTTGTTCTTTGGGGCTTGTGCAAGGAAGCTGTCTTAGAAGTTCCTGTTAGAGATGCGACACTGCTTCCTGTCAGTCTGCCCGTTATTATTTCTCTGAGCCCAACAGGTGATCCCCAACTTAGAGAGGGGTCACATAACCTCAACCCAGTGTAAACTGAAAATGTGGTAACTCCATGCCTTACAGACACTTTCCCAAGTCTGCTGGATCACCTGCCGCTTTGCACTGTGGTTTCAGTGCTCAGTGTTCAGGGAGCAGCAGTCCCTGGATGGCTTCCCTCCTGCTCCTCAGCAAGCCTGTGATTCATCTCCAGAGACATAAGTCCCTTCTTCTGGCTGTTACCTCATCACAGAATTGCCCAGGGCCAGGGTCTGGAGGGGCCTGAGCTCCTCATTCTCAGGATGGACATCGTGGTGGATGGTGGGGCCCAGGGCACAAGACAGGCTGACACCACCCAGCAGGAACCTCAGGAAGGACAGAAAGCCACTGACTATGTGATTTCAATGCCCACAGCAGGCCCAATGCTGACAGTAGATTAGTGATTATACCTCAACTTGTCACTTTGCAGAGAAAAGCTACTACACAGCTTGGTACTAGAGCAGAGCTTCAGGAGGACCCTGAACCCAGTCCCTCCTGACAGTGTGTGCTGAACTACAGGCTCATGAGCCATGCTCTCTGAGCTCCAGGTGTGGCATTGGTCTGATTAACTGTGAGCCAGGTCAGGTTACCCTGTCTACCAGATCCATGGGCTGCATAGCATGCCCTTCTCCCAAGGCGCTAGTGCTCTGAACCCAGGAGAGGATTTCTGCCTCTGCAAAGGTCCCTCTGACCCTCTCCACAGGGGGTGGGCCTGATCCTCTTCACTGTGGGCTGTGTGCTGAGCTCTGGCACTCTTCCTGCCCCTCACACATCTGATGCCTGACTTGTCCCAGTCCCTGTTGACAGTCTGTGCTGAACTGCGGGCTCATGAGCTGTGCTCTCCGAGTTTCCAAGCACCACATTCTTCCTCAACACGGGACTGCTTTCTGAAACCTGCAGCCAGGGTTTTTCTCAGCAAGAAGCTCAATGCAGACTGAGAAAGCTGTGCTCAGGTCCATCCTCACAGTGCAGGGCAGCGGGCTGTCCTTCCATGCCCAGCTCCCTATTCCTGCATGTTGCTGTTTCTGCTTCTCAGAATGTGCCTGGGGCCCTGCAAGTCATACTGGTTTGGAGTCAGACCAGCCTGTGTATCCAGCCTCTGTGTTTTGTGGAAAATGTGCTCCAGAAAGCGGGATCCACAGAGTATTGAGACCAAATGAGATGCCTTTCCCTTTGCACAGCGTGCTGAGTTCCTCCCTGTCAGTGCCTGTGTGCCCCACACAGCCTCTGTTACCTGGACTGTGAATGGAGGAGCTGCAGGACATCAGGGGTTGCAGACTCCACGGCTTACTCCTTGTCAGGAGGTATGAGAATGGCAAGATGGTGCCGTGTCCACCAGAGGGCGCTGCCACTCAGCATAAAAAAGTAAGCCTAACTTGTGCAAGAGGCCCAGTAATGCTCCCCTAGTGGTCACTGTGTTCTTGGCCCCTACAAAGTGACCTGCCCAGTAGAAGCCACCATTATATCTGCTAGATGAGTAAATACAGGTCGATGTTGCTAGATCTTCCTCATATCCTGGAGAAGCTGGAATCTGAAATGTTCTGTGGAATCTGTGGCATTTCAGTATTGGGAATGAACTCCATGGCAGCTTCTCAGCACCATGGGGTACAGCATATGCACCCGTACAGGCTGGTGATGCTGGTGAATGTGGGTGCTGGTTTCTGAAGCACGCTCTGCCCTCCAGGAAACCGTTAGGCTCAGAGCCCTGATTATGGATCTCCCCAGAGGTCTCTGAGGCCCTGCTGAGTCTCAGACTATCACAGGCTCCAGGAATGCTGTCCTCCTCTCCCCGTTTGGGATGAATCTTGGGCACTAACAGAACCACTCTGTGGTTCTCCCTGAGCACCCGTCCCTTCTGTACAGGTGTGGGGCTGTCCATTTTCCCCAGTAAGTGTCTTGGGCCCTGCTCACTGCATCTCCTAATCCCTGTTCATGAAACTGTCATTGGCCCTGACCTCCCCATCTCTTCCCAGTGCTCCTACAGTATCTGGGATTCTGCGGGTGCCCAGACCATCCCCCAAGTGACCATGCTGTTCCTAGATCTTATCATCTCCCACACTACTTGGCTGCCCACTGCATCCACCACCCAGTCCCGTAGCTACACTTGACCTTGTCATAATGCAAAGTGGCTCTGCATCTGGCAGATCCCACTCCAACTTTCTTGCCCTGCAGCTGCAAGGTTCTGTCCTGTTGCACCCTGCATCCTCCTGACATGCTGCCCTCCAGCTGAAGCTCTCCTTATCCTGTTGGTTCTTCACCTTCCTCCAGTTCCTTCCTCCCCACCTATAAACACCTTGTGTCACCTGTCCTATGACACTCTCCTAACCATGCTTCCTGTGCCATGAGCTCATGGAAAGCAGATGCTAGGGGCTTCCTGGGGACCTGGAGAGAAGGAAGGAGCCCACCAGCCAGTGTTGAATAAGAATGCTCTCCCCTGCTATGCAGTAGCCTGGGACCCTCCAACCTTGGGTTCTGGGTTCCTGCATCCTTTCTTTCCCTCTCCAAATCCAGGCTTCCACCCTTTGACGTCAGGCCCCTCAGGCTGCGCCCTTCATGTTGGTTTCTGCCCTGAGTGCTCCCTGCTGGGTCTGTGGGGTGCTTTGTGGCTCCTCAGTTCTTTTTCATAATTACTTAGACGCTGGAAGCTCCTTGGACACAGAGTCTCTGCCTGATCCACCTCTCAATCTTTGCAGTCAAACTAGAAATTTCTAGACCAATGGAAATGTAACAGAGGCTCTTACTGGATGTGGGGAGTAGTTTCCTTTGAAGCTATAACAAATTACTACAAACTCAGTAACTTAAAGTAACACTAAATTTATTCCCTCCAGCTGTGGAAATGGGGCTCAAGCAGTTGGTTGCTCCATGAAGGACCACGAAGAATCAGGTGTCACATGTGTTTCTGCCACTAGAGGGCGCGTGAAAACCATGGCTCTAGGCCACTTTCCTGGATCTCTCAGACCTGTGCTTGTCTCCTCCTGTCTGAGTCTGTGCTTCCTGCTGCCTTCTTATAAGGATTCTTCTGATTTTATTGTTCCCCAGTTAGCCCAGGATCATTTCCTCCTCTGGAAGTCCATAAAGTCCTCCTTACTCCATAAGGTACATTCACAGATCACAAGGCCAGGTCCTAAGTATCTTGGTGGCTGTCATCAGCTTCTAGTTTTTACAGTGTCAGAAAGAAGCAACAAGCAAGCCAAGCTCACTGGCTCATTGCTGTTTTAATTCCTCCAGAAGAGCTGGTAGCTTTCATTCCAGTGGTCTCAGGACCTGGAGGGAAACTTCTAGGAGTGTGCTGCTTATAAAGCTCCCAGACATAGGTCCTGAAGGGGCGGCCCACAGATAGAAACATTACAGGGTTCATGCAAGGATCACAGGATTGGTGAAAGCAAAGAAGTTGGCCAGCTGAAGGCCCAGGTGGGTTACCTCCTCCTAGAACCCGCCCTGGATGGCCGCCACTTGGAACAAGAACTCGAGGAAGGCAACTAAGTGGTGGTGGGGGGGGGGGTCCCAGCAACCAAGAAAGCAACCACAAGCATGAAGATCAGCACCGTGGCCCTGCCCCCTAGGAGCCCCATGCCAGCTCCTGTTCACCTCTTCCTACTCACGCAGTGACGCCAGGATGTTGTAGCTTAAGAAGAATATGGCAGCCAGAGGGAGGAGGAACCTGAGGACATGCAACTCCACCATCATTGAAAAGAGTCAGGCCAGATAGGGGAACAGCAAGATGCAGGCAAAGACATTTAGATCAAAAAGGGCTTTAATTGAGCGCAGCAGGAATGTGGGGGTGCTCAAGAGGGTCACTGCCACCCAGGGAACAGGCAGATATCGTGGGTGTGCCACCACTGCCAGTGACCTACCTGACCACGGGATGCACCAGTACCTTGTACCTGTCCTGGCTAATGGCACCACCAGGAAGATGCTGATGAACAGATGGGCCTTGATTACCCCAATGATGACACTGTACAGGAGGGCTCCTAAGGGCCAGCTGAATTTGCTCCAGATGTTCTCTGCTCAGAAGGGAAGGCCCAAGAGAAACATGAGGTTGGGGATGCCAGATTGGATAGGTAGATTTCTGACACCTTCAGCCTCTGTTGGGGCAGCAGAGATGGGACAGGACCAAGATGTTTCCTAAGAGGCAAAAGACACAGACAGTGGTGACATGTGACTGTAACACTCTGTACAGTGTGTCCCAGGTTTCAGGAGCATCACATAATGTAATGCTGGGGTGGTAACTCTGGCTCTTGTTGGACAACAGGAGCTCTAGGAGGGTCTGGAATGCCATCCATGGTGACCTGCAGTGACAAGTGTGTAGGGTTACACAGGAGGTGGTATCCTGTGGCTCTGGATCCAAGAACAACCTGTCCTGATCAATTAAGTTTTATTGCCACGCAGCCACGCCCATCAGTTACACTGTCACAGTCTGCTCTTTCATGCTACACTGACTGTGTTCCCCATCTGGTCCTCTAAAGCAGTGACAGCTAGTATTTAAAGCTTTCAGTGATCAGGAGCAGCTGGCTGTGGCACATAAGCCTTAGGTTTGTCAGCACTGCTCTGGATGGAGCCTTTGCTGACCTGTTAGTTAAGGGAAGGTACCAGGTTTAGGGTGCCTGTGTTCCAATGCAGGTGCAGTCACCCAGCATAGGGTAAACAGAGCCACTGCCTTTTCCTTTCTTTTTAATGTTGGAGCTCATGTGTCCCCCATGAGGAATGGCCATTAGAACTGGGAGTAATATCCATGGATCCTTAGTGTGGTGCCTGGCATGGCCCGGAAGCTCTCAGCAGAAAGACATGCTTATTAATGACCACGTTATTATTGTCATTTGAAATTCAAGAACATTTAATGACATGTACATCTAATTACATTTAGAGCTAGTATTTTACAAGATAAAACACACAGGATGGCAGTCTCGGCTCGTGGCGATTTGTGTCCCAGCGGGCAGCAGACACAGACATGGCTAGGGCCTTCGGAGAGACCGTTACCTGTCACCTGGAGCTGTGCTGGCAGGGTGTTCAGGGTGAGGGCATGGTGGTGAATTTTCAGAACAAGAATATTCTTCTGCTTGGCTTGAAACAATTAAATGCTAGAAGAGCAAGGAGCCCTCATGAAATAGGGTGTGTTGCTTGCAACATGTTGAGTGATTACATGGTTACATTTCATTGTTTAGTCTTCCTAGCAGCCCTGAGCTCGGCACTGACCCATCTACATCCTGGGCCCTGAGACCCCCATCTCACAGCTGGACAGTTACAGAGCCTAGGTTTCAACTTAGATGCCAGATGTCTGTACATTCTGCCTGTTTGTGCTTCCATGAGTGGGATGAGGAAGCCACGCTCGGGGAAGTCACCGGAGTGTGAAAGATCCCAGCTGGTGAGTGACAGTGCCTCATGTGACCCGCAATCTGCACTGCCCCAGGCCTCATTCACATGTACACAGTGACCCGCATACTGCCTTCCTCATACTCAGGTTTGTAGCCACTGGTTTTCCGTGGAGATAGAGAGGGCAGGGAGAGGTCAAAGTGTGATCATGCCTCCTAGACTCCCTGACCGCTAAAGAACAGACATGACTAGGCATGGGTGACCACCAACAGATGGAACCACACCCTTGACCTGTGCTGTTCAGTGCACCCAATATGTGGTAATTCTTTAGAGCCCAGGGGAAACTCCCACCTGGTCCCAGGACACAGGGACTTCATATCCACCCCAGCGACTTCAGCAGGCACTGCCCCTGCCCCATCTGCAGGGCACAAGTGTGGCCATCACCTGTGTGACAGGGTAGTCTGCACTAGCTGCTGCCTGTGTTGGGAACCTCAGCCAGAAACAGGAACAGCATGGTTTTCTGCCACACATCGCCCTCTTTAAATGAACTCTGAGTTCAGTAGTCAGGGATGAAGGCCACACTTTGAAATACAGATTCATAGGTTAAGGAAGCAGGGCTGCCTCCTGAGAGGATGCTGTCTCCTGGCCATGTTTCACCAGCACAGTCACCCCCTACAGAAATTCTGAGCACCCTGGAGGGACTGAGCTGGTGTCTGTAAATGTGCCTTTGTAGATTGTCATGGGTGAGCATCCACTCAGTGTCCTGAGAATTTTAGTCAGCTGATGAGGCGATTTGGCTGTGATAGAAAAACAAAAAATCGTCCTGAACACTTCCAAACACACTCCCCCACCTCATGTCCTAAAAAATAATTTAAACCCTCACTATGCATTGAACACAATCTCTTCCCTTCTAAGTACAATTCTCCCCATTCAGCGTGAACACTCACAGAATGGATGAAAGGAAGCTTTCTGTTGATTTTTCCCTGAGACACATGAGCTCCTGTTCTATTCCTTTTTCCTGAGAGAAGAAAGTGCAGTCATTTACTTACTCAGACAGAAAGTAGAAGATCTCAGGGCCTAGGCTGGGATTAGCAAGCCCTGTCCTCCATAGCTTTCTGTTCTGGTTGCTCTGTGGATGGCGGTCCCTTGAAATACCACACTCTGTTTCTCGAGGTTGTGGGGCTGCCTTTTGAGACAGGAGGCCAGTGGTGTGGGTAGGAGCCCAGGCTGCCTCTCCGTGATTAGAGGCAGGCAGAGGTTGCTCAGTGCCTCTCTGCTGGTGACCACTGGGAGACCTGTGATGCTGCCTCCTGGCATGTGCTGTAACTTTGACTCCCAGACACCCACCAAGCCTCACCCTACACTGATCAATGACTTCCCTGCTCACAGCTAGGCCCTGTGTGCTGAGAGGTTTGGGACAGTGTTTGTGTCCCAAACTTCATGCCACTCCTGCATCATGGTCACGCGGTGAATGGCCAAGAAGCCAGCCATGAGGACCCTATGGCTTCACAGTGAGCACAGAACAAGTCTGCATCACACACTGCTCAGGGCTGAGTGGTGTCAGAGGTGGTCCCCGGCAGCTCTGAGAGCCTACTTCCATGTAAGTGGGCTCCATGGGGTTGGAGCACACTGGACCTCACATTTCAGGAACGGAGAAAATCCTGGCTTTCTTTCAGAGTCACGCAGCACATCCTATCAACCAAGCCATGGAAGTTATGGCCCTGTGGATTCAGTTGTGTCCAGATTCCTGCATTACCAGGACAGAGCTGGGCCACAATTCCAGGCTGAGTTTCCAGCTCCTGAGGGCTGCACCACCCAGGTCTGGAAAAAAGGGGCACCGTCTCCTCTAAAGAGTCCAGGCTTTCTTTACATTTCTGCCTTATGTGACTGATGCCTCATGGAAATAACTGTGCTTCAAAGTATCCATCAGTTTTCCCAGTTGCTAGAAATCCAAAAATTATGGAGAAGAAGGAAGAGGAGAAGATGACCAAGAGGGAGGAGGAAGAGAATAATAAGAACAATAACAAGAAAAAGAGAAGAAAGAGGAGCAGGTAGAGAGAGAGAAGGAGGAGAAGAAGGCATGAATGGGTCCAGTAATCAGGGCACCAACAGAAGACCCCAGTCTGGGGAGGGCAGCATCTGCTTCCCAGGAATCCCCTTTCTAGGGGCAGCTGCCTCTGTGGTGAGGAGGTTTTAGTCACTCTGGCTGGGTTTAAGCCAGAGAAGCATCCCAGCTCCAGGCTTCCCTACCACCTCCAGATGGGGTCCTGTGAGGACTGTTAGCAGCCTGCTGCCCTGCTCTCTTGGGATTAAGGGTCTGTCTGGACTCCTACAACAGCAGTGCTGCAGGGAAGCTCCTCAGGGAGGACTTGCTGCACAGCTCACAAACCTGCTTATTTGCACACACGAATGTCAGGACAGCAGGCACACTGTGAAGCCCTTGTGGGTGCCAGGCCTGGTGTGCACCAGGGTATGTGATGAGGAAGGCTCTTCCTGTCCCCGTGGCTGCCTGCTAACAATAAGTGTGGAATGCTGACAGGCCATAGGGACCTGAGGCTGTGTCCAGGAAGAAACTCGAAAGGATTAATTCTGCTGAGGGCTGAGTGTGCTGGGCAGTGGCAGATCATGGAATTTCCTAACCCTGTACCTCCTGAGCTAATTCTCTATCACCTACATCTCAGTTGGTTTTGTTTCTCTGGAGAAACCTGCAGAAACTGCAGCATCTGGTGAAGGGTGGAGGGCATTTTGAGCTGGCTTTCGAGAGTTAATAGGAATCTGGATGACAAGCTGAGAAATACGCTGCTGGTAGAAGGACCAGCATGTGTCCTAGAAGCACACACACAGCCCCACACTCCATCCCTCATTGTTTCTTTGGGGACTTCACCCAACTCCTTGGGCAGCCTAGCTGGACTCAAGCTTTGGTGCAAGCAAGAGGATTCAGCAGACAGTGCCAACCCCAGAGTCAACTGTATTGAGAGATGGAGGCAGGGACAGACTGAATTGAAATTTCTTAGCTTGGCCTGGTAGTGCACTCCTGAAATCCCAGCATTCAGAAGGCTCAGGCAGGGAGTTTGAGGCCCACCTGTGCTACATTTTGAATTGAGTGCCAGCTTGAACTCCAGAGGGAGACCTCCTCTCAAAAAGGAAAGAAAATGACAACAAAAAGAGAGAGATGGGGGTGGGAGGGAAAGAGACAGAGAGAAATTTCCTCTACCAGATTAATTAGTCTGCCCCACTTAATCCCAGCCTCTGTTAAAGTCTTTGGACATGAGGAAAATGCAGACATATTTTCTGCCAAGTCATAGCCCACATGATCTGGAACCCAAAAGTCAATGGAATCCTTTTTCCCAGCAGAAATCTCCCAAGTCTGGTCTTTACTGGCACCCTGGTCCTGTGAGCACTGACCAGAATCCTTTATCAAATGCTACCTACCAAATATCAGCATTATTTTTTCAGCAGGCAACTTCGATCCTTTACAAATTATTTACACAACACTTTCCAAAAGCTCTGAATCGCATGCTCAAGTAAAGTCATACCCAGGACCCTACAAACGTGGTATCAATTCATTTTATTTATGTTTGTATTATTCATTTATATATTTATTTATTTACAAATTTTCTTGTTGTTGTACTTCCCCAAAAGTGTCCCCGAGATGAAAAAAGCATAGCGCACAACGATGTCATTCTAAGAAGAAGCGCTTTTATTTTTTGGTTGGCCCAGTGACACAGTGCAGATGGAATTTACAAAGCTGTGCAACTGAGTTAGAATTTTGACTGATTTTTATAGTTCATTTATGATTAACTCATTGATCATTA